AAGTACTGAGGGAGAAATCACTAAGAAATTGTTTTAAAAAATAATATGAAGTGCTATAAGAAATAGCAAATAAAATTTCAAAACATATAATAGAGAAGTAAAATGCATAAATAGGTCACAATATATATTTATATACTGATATGAGGCCCCTAGAACCATAAGAAATACAAAAAATTCACTGTTAACTCATTCTTGAATTGCTCCCCTTAAAAATCCAATTGCCTCCCTGTGGGGCTTGTGCCCCATGTTGGGAACCACTGGTCTAAAAGAAGCAGGAGATCCATATCATTTAATGTGAAATTTCCCAGGGTTTTTTTTTTTTTTTTTTTTTTTTAACTTAATACTCTGTGTGCTAAAGCTCATTAGCTAGCAGTTTGTGACCTGAGGCCTAAATGATCATTAAGGCCCTTTCCCACACTTGCTCTCTAAGTGGTTTTAAATAAAGAATAATAAGAAAAAAATTATCTAACATTTCCACAGCTATTTTCAGTTTATGAAATATAAAGACATTGCCATCCAGAACACACATAGAAAACATGAAAGGGACAGGCTTCACAACCTGACTCCGTTTCCTCATCTTCGGAATGGAGATGACAATAGTATCCACCTAAGGGCGTAGTGATATCATTTAAAGTACCTAGCATGGTATATGACATACAGCAAGAGCTCAAGGAATGTTTCCTTTATATTATTTTGGGATACAGCATCTATATCTATATCTATATCTATATCTATATCTATATCTATATCTATATCTATATCTATAAAAGCCCAGTGACTGAATGGCAGAACAACCAGAACGACCGTTTGACCAGTCACCATGACATGCACTGACCACCAGGAGACAGATGCTCAATGCAGGAGCTGCCCCCTGGTGGTCAGTGTGCTCCCATAGCGGGAGCGCCGCTTGGCTGACTGGGATGAGCAGCTGCTCCTGGGAGCAGCCACTAGCAGGCCCAGGGTGAGCTGAGTGTCTGCACCTATCAGATACCTGAGACAATCCAGACTCTGGCCTGACCCCACCAGCTGATGCAGGCCCTCTAAGGTGTGTTCTAGAAAGAGTGCAGGGAGCTGGCATAGGCAGATGGCAAGAGGGGACGTGACTGTGCCCCCACACCCCTGGGGAGGCTATCCTGATGGCTGAGGATCCTGGAGCATGGCTGCGGTGAACATCCCTGATGGTGCCACCAATCTGGCATCACACATCAAGGACATTCACTGAGTGGCTTTGGGGTGCAAAGCTCTTCGCCAGGTTCCTCCAGGACACAGAATATGCCTTTACCCAAGACATTACCCTGAAATATCAGCTCAGACTAATTTCCTCATTCAGTGGCGGCTCAGAGGGCGGGTCCACAGCTCTGCTGCTGACTGTGATGACCCGGCTCCCACAGCGGGCCGATTCCCGCAGGCCACGCCCCCCACCACTGCATGAATCCATGCACTGGGTCTCTAGGTATATTATAAAAGGTTATTCACCTGCTACATATCCAAACCAGTTGTGTTCTCTCTATCCCATTCTGTGACCACCAGCTCAGGTAACCCCAAGGCTTCATGGAAATGAAGTATAGATCCAACCCCACAAAAAGCTGAGGAACTGGTCCTAATCTTTCTGGTTAAACTTGCTTTGCAAAAATCCACTCCACCTTTGATGAAGAGCTAATTCCTAAATTACTTAAACTATTACTGTTCACTTAACAAAACTTGCTAAGACAATCACAAAGAACACCCATTTCATTAATTATAAACTTTAATCCTAAATAAAAGATTAGCCCTGGCTGAGTAGATCAGTTGGTTGGAGCATCATCCCAATATGCTGAGGTTGAGGGTTTGATCTCCAGTCAGGGCACATACAAGAATCAATCAATGAATGTATAAATAAGTGGAACAACAAACCGATGTCTCTCTCTCTCTCTCTCTCTCTCTCTCTCTCTTTCTCTCTCTCCCTCCCTCTCTCTCTCAAATAAAAAATAAATAAGAGATTAACAAAATGAACCAAGAGTGTATTCAAAGAATAACGAATACACAATGAAACAAAGTTTATTTCAAGAATAAAAGGATGGGCTCAATATTAGGAAATCTACTAGTATATATTTCATTATATTAATAAGTCAGTAAAAATGAATATAGTAATAGAGTTTATGAGAAAGTTTATTTATCTTTTCCTGTATTCTTCAAAACTTTTCTGAGGTTTTGGCCAATGCAATAGGAAGATAGAAAACTGCATTCTTTGTAGGTGATATTGTTACTGGAAAGGGGATGGCCATGAGCAGGTCTGCCTAGGGCTGGCTGGTAGTGTGTGGGGCAGGATTACACCAGCCTTGATGCAGGAAAGATTTCACAACACAAATCCAAGTGATTTTGAGGGTATGTTTATTAAAGCTGGGGGCAGTGAGACAAAGAAGGGCCTAGCATAGAAGAAGCAACAGGAGAGACCTAGATGGGGCTGCTTTGGCCTCTGGAAATGTTATAGGAAAGAAATCAGCCAAGGCAGGGCTGCTCTGGCTTACTGAGAAGTTAGGGAAAAGGGGACATTGGGGACAGGTCCAGGGGGTTAGCCCAGGATGAGCTGCTGCTGTCTATTGCTGGTTGCAAGTCTCATGGGGTCCCTTAGAGTTTAGGAGATGCACACCTGTGGGGCATGAAGAAGGAGAAGGGTGAGGGCATGATCCCTGGAGGGAGAACACATGGTGGGAGCTTTGTTTTGAGGGTTTTTAAAAGCTGGGAGTTTATGGGAAGGTCTTAGGGGAGGATCTCAATAGAATATTCATCAGTTTTATGCTCATGTGCTAAAATGAAATTTATTCCATTAACTTCACCTGTCCTTGGGTGTGATTGGCACAAACGGCACCACTCTATCTCCCTAAGTAGGGTGATTTGAGCTATTTAACCTCTGGTTAGGGAGGAGAAGTGTAAACCATTTGTACTTTAAATTTTTTTTTTTTTTTTTTTTTTTTTTTTTTTTTTTTTTTAGAGAGAGAGAGAGGGAGAGGGAGAGGGAGAGGGAGAGGGAGAGATAAACATCTATGTGAGAATGAAACATTGAGCAACTGCCTCCTGCATGCCTCCCACCAGGGATTGAGCCCACAACCTGGGCATGTGGCCTGAACAGGAATCGAACTGGCAACCTTTGGGTGCATGAGATGACACCGAACCAAGTGAGCTTTACCAGCCAGGGCTAAACCATTTATTCTTAAGTGTCCTTGATTTAGGGAAGATAGGACTTACTAGATGGCTATAAACTGCTTGGCCATTTAAATATCTGTCTCAGTTTTCCTATTCCACTTGCCAAGGAATTTTTCTAGCTTTTTACTATCTTGCCTCAATATTATCATTGACATAAAAATTCAGAGACATCAGCTGACAAAGCTACTAGGACTAATAAGACATTTGCACAGGTGGTAGGATACAAGATTACATAAAAACAGTAGTTTTCCTCATTCATAATAACAACAAAGACTATAAAATATCTAAAAACAAACTTCACAAGAATTGTGCAAATCTACGTGAATTTTTGTGTGTGAAGATATAAAAGACCTATATACATGAGATGTGTTCCTGAATAAGAAGACTCAGGATTTTGAAAATTTTAAATAAAGGGGGGACTTGCTTTATGAGAGAGGGAATATATTACAAAGTTATAATAAGTATGGCATAGCATAGGAATTAGCACATAGCTAATAGAATAGATGAGAATGTTCAAAAATACATACCCACAAGTTTAGTTTTAGTTAATGGTGGCACTTTAAAGTAGTGGAGAAAGAGTAGATTACTTAATAAGTGATATTGGGGCAACTGGTTAACCATTTGGCAAAAAGTAAAGTGAAAAGAAGCAAAGTGAAGATCCCTACCTCAATCCATTTAGAAGTATAAATTAGAGATCGCAAATTTACATACTATTTTTGAGTGTAGTTTGGCAATATGTATCAGAATTTGAAATTTTCATAATTTCTTATTGAACAATTCCATTTCTTAGAACTAATTACATGGAGGTACATGGATAAATGTACAGAAATGTCAGTACAAGAATGTTTATTGCTGCATTTTTTGAAATAGTGAAAAATTGAAAACTACTTAAATGTCTGTCACAACAGATGTGTAGCACATACAAACTATGGAATGCCAGGAGTCTTTAAAATGATGATTTTAAAATGATGAAGTAGATTTACATGTATTGTAATAAAGAATATCCACATCATATTAAGTTAAAATATTGCCATGTTTTAAATCTGTAGGTATTCTTTATTTTTTTAATGTGTGAAGGTATAGAAAAGCCCAGGATCAATAGCAAATTGTTTCTTTTTCATTTCCAATAGGTAGAGTCTACTTTTTGACTAGAAAATTCTTCCCCTCTCTTAGCTCTTTACCCAGGTTACTTCAACAGGAGTACATCCTTAAACTTCTTGTGGGGAGGGGAGCGGACACCTATCCTAGGTAAGCTTGCTCTCATAGAACCCTGTACTTGCCATGCTACCTATAAACCATACTGCACCTTCTTATTGATCTAAATTACTTATTTTTTTTTTTTCCTTTAGATTCTAATCTAAGCTCCATGAGGTCAATCTTGTTCACTCGACAGCCCAGCACAGTGTGGGGCAAACAACATCCCTTGAGCTCTTGCTGTATGTCATATACCATGCTAGGTACTTTAAATGATATCACTACGCCCTTAGGTAGATGCTATTATCATCTCCATTCTGAAGATGAGGAAACGGAGTCAGGTTGTGAAGCCTGTCCCAAATGCCACTGCTTGCATTGGGATCCATTCCCAGGCCTGTGTGGCTCTCGGCCACTACACTCAGCATACGGCGACCAATAACTATCGGAGAAAATACAACCAACCGTGGCCCGAGGATCTCTTGATGGGGATGTTGCCATGGTGATTTAGCACTAGAAGCCCTTTAAACTTCATTATAATCCAGACACTTCCCAGCTCCTCGCATTACCATCAGCTTGCCGAGCTCGGAAGGGAGCGATAGGGGCGGGGCGGCTTCCGGGGGCGGGGCAGGGTCAGCGCTCCGGGCGGAAGTCGGGAGATTCGGTGGTCCGAAGACGCTGGCTTGTGACACAGAGGGGGAGAAAGAAGGCCTGCTGGAAGGTTGCCTCTCCATCCCTTCAGTCCCGGGCACCCTTGGAAAAAAGCCAACACCCGGCCCGCGGCAAGCCCCTTCCCCCAGGCTCTCTCCGCTCGATTTCGCCACCGTTATGTGGGAAGCGAATCCGGTGAGTAGCCGGGCGGGACGGGGCGGACCCAATGGGCGGGGTTGGTGGGAGAGAGGGGGCGGGAGGGGGTTTCCGGGAACTGCTCCCCCTCACCCGCTTCAGGCTGGATCTTGAGTTCCGGAGCTCAAAGATCCTGGCCCTTGCGGCTTCCCCAGCACTGCCTTTGAGGGGTGGAAATGGCCTGGTGGGGTCTCCAGCGTGGAAATGCTTTCCCGTTAGTTGCTTATTTTGCTTGCTGTGGTTTCTCCGCTTTCCTCCCTTCATCCTTTGAAACTCAGTTTTGCTTTCTAATTGGAGTCATTGGGCTTCGGACCTGTTACTCAGCCTTTGCCTTAGGTGTACTTGCCAGTCCCACTTACCTAAAGCTGGGGGATTCGACCCTCGGGTCTTGAATGGGCCTGGAAGGAACTGTCACTGCTTCCCTTCTTGGTGAACAGTCATTTAAAACTTGGGGACCGAGGATATGTTCTAAGCCTCTTGATTGTGAAGTTCTTAGATATTTCTTTTTCAGTGGATAGAAGTGATGACCTGGAATGTTTCAGCAGCAAGTTTTGTCTCCCTCGTTTGATTCTGGTATATGCATTATGCCTGCATGTATTTTTGTCTGTTTTGCTTTTATACATTTATTTAATGTGCAGCCCTCAAAGAGTGCAATCTCTTTGCCAAGAATATTCCATTGATCTCTTGTTAGAGTTGAAATTACTTAGTAACATGGCAAATGTACACTGTTTATGCCTTATGAGTTGACAGGGAAAATGGTAGAATCACATTTCAACAAATTGTTGGACTAAATATGTGAAACTACTCCATATGCAGAGATATCTGCCTAAATTTACTTTATAACCCTGTTTCCATACTTTCAAAAACTTATTTTATGTAATAAATACTTTCCTTTCATTTCCAGAATTTATTTCCAGATAAATTGGAGAGTTTATCAGTTAATTCAGCTAGATTTTTAAAAATATGTTTTTATTGATTTTAGAGAGAGGAAGGGAGAGGGGTAGAAAGATAGAAACATCGATAAGGGAGAAACAGATCGCTGCCTCCTGCACACCCCCTACCAGGGATTGAGCCCACAACCGGGCATGTGCCCTGACTGGGTATGGAACTAGTGACCTCTTGGCTCATGGTTGGATGCTCAACCACTGAGCCACATCAGCCAGGCTAATTTATTAATTTTTAAAATTTTTATTCAACAGAAACTAGCCTGTTAGTATGCGTTTTTTGGTTGCTCACTGTGGTTCTATCCCAGTTCATCATGTAACAGTGGTCATCTGAGATTTATTTATTTATTTTTGGTTCATACTCATAGCCCTCTATTCTAGGCTACATCAGAGAAAGTAGTTGCTGGTATTTGGTTTTAGCAAAAATAATTTAGAAATACGAGAATGTGCTCTCTCTATATATTCAGTTTCCTGTCAACAGTCTTCATTTTGTATCGTGTGTGTGTGTGTGTGTGTGTGTGTGTGTGTGTTTGTTTGTGTGTGTGTTCGTTCAGTTTGTATTGGCAGTCTTCCTTGTCTTGATTCCTCTGTAACAAACCTTTTAGTCACCCAAATACATGCCTTGCTCAAAGTCACATGTTTTAAATCCTTCACTAAGCTCTCTATGGGCAGGGAGTTTTGTCTGTTTTGTTTATTATGGTATCGTCAGTCTAGAGAATGGAGCCTGGCACACTTTGTAGGCACTCAATAAGTATTTGTTGAATTAATAAAGGTGTTTGTGCTAGAGAGAGTCCTTTGCTCCCAGTACTCTCCCTCCTCCATCACATATACATCAGCATTTGCTATTGGGTCATTTGTATGTTTGTGAGGGTTATAAAGGCATCAATGAGTGTCTCATTTATGTGGTTTGTTATATCATTATCTCATTTCTTTGTAAGAAATGCTGTTTTCTCTGAAATCACCCTAACAATTTTGCTTGATTTCAGTAGAGTAGACTGATTTTTGTCAAAAGTACTGACCTTCTGCATTGTACCCCTTGTATGCCATCATAATATTCCTTAATGCTACCGGGTTTGCTTACTTACTGATGCTGTTTTTCTTCCTATAACCATATGAATGCTGACAACAAAGGCAGTTTAGTTTTTAAAAATATAGTCAACATTCTGCATGTGGATTTCTCTAGTAATTCATTAGTGTCTTTTAATAGAAGAGGCATCTGGATATTCCAGCTGTGCTTATGGGATGAAATTAATGTTACTCTAAGCCAAACAATTGGGAAGGTTTTTAAAAACACAATGATCTTAAATGCAAATGCTTTTGCATTACCCATCAGTTTAAATCACAGTTTATTATTTCTTTCCATTGAATGAGAGAATAAATTCTACTATATGAAGAAAGGGAATTGACTTAATTGAACACTTATGCCTAGTTTCTCCCCGTGTGTTTTGTTAGTATCCATGACTTCACTATGCCACCTGTGATCTGCAAATACACCTTCTGGGTGAAGCTGTGAGGAAATATACCCTGGGTTATGGATAGTTTCACTGTAAACATCTTCGCCTCAGGCATTTTTGTTATAGGCAGTTCACAGCAAACATTTTCACCACACAGCTAATTGGTAGTAAGGCAGTTTCACCATAAAAGATAAAATAGTTGACAGTTTGGTTTCATTTCTTCATTGATGAATCATCTACCTCCAGCAGACAAATATTTAAGCTAGTTGTCAGTTTGGTTTCATTTCTCCATTAACATAGTTTTTGTAGCACTCCCATTTTTATATTATGTAGAGCTTAGCCAGATTGCATACTATACTCTAATTACAAAGTCCTCACAGTTCTTCTATTTTTATATTATATAAATCTTAGCCAAGTTGCCTACCATACTAGAAAATTATAACTTGTCAGTTATTTCATATTTTCCCATGAGCACAGTCATCCCTCCACCTATGAAAACCAAGTTTACCAAGCTATGGCAAACATAAAAGAGGTGGCTACTAATTCATAACAGTCTTTAAGAGCATCATTAATTCTCTAGTTGGAAATTGATACCTCTCTTAAAGAAGGAGGAGATTTTAGTGATAAAAGAAGTGCAGTGCTGAATGAGGAGACAAATCAACAAGCAAGCAAAGTGCACTATGAACAAAAGACTTCAAAGACAACGTATTTTCCTTTTTTGCAATAAAGCCTTTAATTTTGTTATTAATTTTTCATTTTCATTATGTCCTTTTGTAATGTATCTTTTATATTTTGTTTTGTTTTTAATCTTTTCCAGTGAAATTTTCTCTGGTTAATTAGTTGTGCTGCAAAAATGCTTGTGGCATAGATGTTTACAATGAAACTACCGGCCATGTGTACACTGACCCTGGCCATAGTAATGTTCAGAGGCAGCAGCCCTTTTAGGTGGAAAGTTTCCATGATATGACTTGAGTGTGGAAAATTACCCCTGGTCTTGCAGCCTTTTCTTGTGGGAAAACCCCAAAACAAGATAACCAAGGAGCTACAAAAGCTTTATTTAAGTACACAGTTTTATTTCTCAAGGAAGTCATGAGGTCAGTGGTGATTCTACCGAAGCCTGCCACTGACCAGGCACCTGGAGGTAAACATCGTGTCCCTGCCAAGGCAGCCCAGGTTGACAGAAGCAGCCGGCACACTCAGTTCTGATATGAGCTCCTGGTAGTTCTCCACCCACCTGGTGAAGGTAGCCTTTGACTAATGTCCTCATTTAGGGAAATGGCAAAATCTCTAGAAAGAAGATGGAAGGGTTGCCATCTACACACCTTGACTTTATCCTGCCTTTCTCTGTCTCCTTGTCATTCATTGTCTTACCCTCTTTGCTGGGATTGAAATAATTAGACCAGTATCACATATGGGGGAGTTTCAGCTACTCTCTGTCACACTGAGTAAAAATGAAAAACAACAAACATCTGTTCAAGATTACAAACTATCTATTACAATAATACGACCTTACTTTTTTTTTTTAGTTGTTCTTATTTATTACTTTTTAAAAATAAATCTTTATTGTTCATATTATTACAGTTGTTCCCCCTTTTTCCCCCCATAGCTCCCCTCCATCCAGTTCCCACCCCACCCTCTGCCCTTACCCCCCCACTGTCCTCATCCATAGGTGTACGCTTTTTGTTGCTGGGTCAAAGGTCATACACATGGAAAATATAGCTATTTCCATCCGCAACGTGTCCCTGTGTTCGGAAAGGTCTCTCACGACTTGTTCACACTCTACTCAGAAAGGGTACGGAGCCATGTAATGGCTTTTTAAAATAATGTGTCCTCTTATGTTTAAAATGAGGATTTCGCTACCAAAAGTGAGGAGACAGCAACGCTACAGCTGGTTTGCGGGCCATTGCCGAAGCCGTCTGGGCGGTCCGCGCTGCTCCACCGGCTTCTCAGGGGCTGTCGCAGCCTCTCAGGGGCTGTCGCAGCCTCACACAGCCTCATAGGGGCCGTCGCAGCCTCATGCAGCCTCATAGGAGGCGTCGCAGCCTCGCAGGGGCCATCGCAGCCTCGCAGGGGCCGTAACAGCCTCACAGGGGCTGTCGCAGCCTCACAGGGGGCGTCGCAGCCTCACAGGGGCCGTCGCAGCCTCACAGGGGCCGTCACAGCCTCACAGGGGCTGTCACAGCCTCACAGGGGGTGCCGCATCCCACGTTGGGGGTGAAGGTGCGAGACAGAAGCTCCTCTCGCTGTCTCTCCTGCTGCTCCCTTGCGTATCGCCGATGCTGGAAGTTTCTGAGAGCAGTCTGCAGGTGCTGGACATCATACTTTAACTGGTCAACACAGAGTCTGGCATTCTGTTTTTTGTTGGGAGGCTCCTTGCTGGACAAAATCTCCAGGCGTTCTAGCTGGCTGAATATCTGGTATGCTTGCTTGGATTTCGTTTTCTACTAAGTGCACAGACTGCTTGTCTGCCGTCTCCCGGTGTCCCATGTAAGACTGGAGTCCCATGTAAGACTGGATCTGGTGAACCTGCTTGTGCATTTGCTGGTACAGAGGTTCCATGTTGCTGGCCCAGCCAGGTTCAGCTCTGGCTTCCTCCGAACCT